ACCTCTTTCTGCTGATTCCTTACCTCGCTGCCCGCCTGATCATGACCCGGTCTGCTCCTGACCCTGCCGCTGTCTGCTGATTCCATACCTCGCTGCCCGCCTGATCATGACCTGGCCTGCTCCTGCCTCTGTCTGCTGCTTCTGTACCTTGCTGCCCGCCTGATCATGACCTGGCCTGCTCCTGCCTCTGTCTGCTGCTTCTGTACCTCGCTGCCCGCCTGATCATTACCTGGCCTGCTCCTGCCTCTGTCTGCTGCTTCTGTACCTCGCTGCCTGCCTGATTGTGACCCGGCCTGCACCTGACCCTGCCTGCTGCTTCTGTACCCCGCTGCCTGCCTGATCATGACCCGGTCTGCCCCTGACCCTGCCGCGGTCTGCTGCTTCTGTACCTTGTTACCCGCCTGATCATGACCTGGCCTGCTCCTGCCTCTGTCTGCTGCTTCTGTACCTCGCTTCCTGCCTGATTGTGACCCGGCCTCCTCCTGACCCTGCCTCTGTCTGCTGATTTTGTACCTCGCTGCCCGCCTGATTGTGATCCGGCTTGTTCCTGACATTGGCTGTGCTCTGCGCTGGTGTCAGCTTCACCCATTGCTGACTCCATCTCCCTGGAAGGGATTCTCCTTGTCATCCTTCAGACCGGTCCACCTGCCAGCCCCACCCTCCAACCAAGATCTGCCTGCATTGCACAGAAGCACTGAGACCCAGTGATGACATCATTGAGTCTAAAATATACGAAAGTTGTATTTAAAAAACATCGCTAGCATGTTGATGAAGTTGGAGAGAAGCCAAGGAAGGCAAAATATAAGCAGATTAACCACTTTCTGACCGCGGCCTTTATACCCCCTTCATTTTTCAGTATTCAGCGCTGCGGTACTTTGACTGACATTTATTCCGTCATGCAGCGCTGTACTCAAACGAATGTTATACCATTTTTTGGGGACAGATAGAGCTTTCTTTTGCCGGTATTAAATCACCACATTTATTTTTTACTAGGGTTGCACAGATACCAAGTACAGTACTCGGTATAAGTACGAGTACATGTACAGATACTTTTGAGCTCCAAAACTAGACTAGAGAAAATTCTAAAATTAGGAGGCCGCTGTCATTTGTAAGGAGCACACGGAGCTCCCGGGATTTGTACATCTCTGTTTTAATGTATGATTTTGTTTTTATAAATAGAAATAAAGGGATGCCAAGGAAGGCAGACAGATACCAGTTTTGCCAGTACGAGTACTGATACTTGCCGAGTACTTACAAGTACGAGTACTGATACATTTTTGTTTATTGTCATGTGACAGTTTTTCTAAAATAATACAGACTAATGATTCCAGGACAGTGGTGGAGCGCCAGAGCCATGTCCCAGCTGCAACCCTGGTAGTTCTCATGAAAATGCCAAGTATCGGCACTGGTACTCGAAAAGTATCTGTGCATCCCTATTTTTTACTATATAATGAAAAAAGTACCGCAAATTTGGAAAAAAACCTGTTCTCCCTACGTTATGTTATAAAACATTTATTATTACCCAAATTTTTCGCAAAATATAAAAGTCGCGGTCACGTCGGGTAAATAGACACCAAACATGTTAGGCTTTAAAATTGCGTGCTTCCGCGAACTCGCAAAAACTACCATACCCAAAATTGACCATAGCCGACGCTTTAAAAGCTTTAACCGCTCATCAGTTTCGTGTTATCAGTGATTGATGGCCCTAGAATTATTGCTCTCAATGCGACGTTGGCGGCGATACGTAACATGTTGCGTAATGGATGCAATCGTCGTTTACGCACTTAGGCGCACTCGACGCATGTTTGCATGTGTATGTGGGGGGCAGGGGACTTAAAAGTTTTTTTACATTTTTTTTATTACCTTTACATGTGACTTTTCATTTTTCTATATTTTTTTTGTAACTAATTCTTTTAAACATTTTTTTTCACTTAACTTTATTGCTATCACATAGGGGACTAACAAGCCCCCTTTGTGATAGCCAATTTTCAGTGACAGGTCCTCTTTATGGAGACATCAGGGGTCTTTAAGACCCCTAATGTCACCTAGGGACCCCCAGAGAAGCTGATGAAGCAAACACCTGCTTCACCAGCTTCTCTCTGGTTTCTGTACCGGAGAGTGACACTGAATGCAGGAAGTGATATAATACACATCACTGCCTGCATTCTGAAGAGGAGGAGGAGATCGAATGGAGATTGTGTACTGAGCACCGTTTGATCTCCGGCTGCAGAGCTGTTGTGCTGGTCCCGGGCTCACACCGGAGCTCGGAATCGCCAGCAGTGGCTGCGGCGGAGGGGGGGTCTGCACACCCGCACGCTTATTACAAGTCTCTACAGGCGCCCAAACGCTTGTATGTAAACAGCCATCGCTGGCTGTTTACAGTGCAGACTGAATTCCCGCTCGTGTCCGCCGCCTAGCGGCGGGCACAAGCGGGACGGGATGGGACGTTTAAAAACACTCACCCGCATTCAAGAAGCCGCTGTCCGGCCGTTTAATTACAACGGCCGGACAGCAGGTGGTTAAACTTTACCTTTACGCTGGGTTCACACCTGGGCGTACTATAGGCGCGTTTTTTCTGCGCGTTTTTCAGCACGTTTTTTCGTTTAGTGAAATGCGCGTTCAACGCTCGTGTTTATACCTCCCTGGCGGTATGATTTTTTTTTTCAATTTTCCTTTATTCTCTATCTTTTTTTTTAACTTTCAAACTTCCCGCCGGTTTTGCCCCCCTGCGACGCGGTCGCTCGCAAGGGACGGAACCCGGAAGACGGCAGCGGCCGGAGGACACAGCAGGGATCGCAGACAATGTAAGACCTACGCTGTATTCCCGTGTGGCTCGGGGTTACCGCTTTGTTTACCCCGAGCCACACTCGGGAATAACAATGGATACGTGCGGAAATACGCCCCAAAGATGCTCCTGTACTTGGAAACGAGCTGAAAAACGCCCAGGTGGGAACCATCCCCATAGGAAAGTATGGGATTTCACTTGCTGAGCGTTTTTCAGCGCTGAAAAATGCCCAGGTGTGAACCCAGCCTTAAGGAACTGCGCTGACTTTACCTACCTCAGTGTCTATAGAACAGAAGCAGGTAAGGATCTGCAATAAGGTTTGCTTAATCCTTTCCACACGAACAGTTGATTTGGGAAAGACATTGTCACTCAAACTTGCTGTGTTGTTTAATGCAAAACCCCAGCCAAAAATGTCTCCTATTTCTGCATATTCTGAATTCCGTGCTGTGGACGGCCATATCAGCACCACCAGGCTCTACTTTTGTTGTACCGGGTGGTGGTGCGAACAGGGCAGCCCACAGCAGGAAATTCAGAATGTCCTTTGTTGTAGGAAAATGATCATATGACAGTGCCGGCATCCAATCAGATGAAGTCACTGAGTGTAATGTTACCCGAATTACAATATCCGGCAGTGGGGATTCCTCAGTCCACACTGATCAGCCTGAATGATAAACAAAGAAAGACTTGGAGGCTCTGACCCTGGAGATGTCACTTTTATCCAAAGAATTGAGTTATACACATGGCTGCCCCTAATATGGGTCCTATAGGGCCCCCTTGGCAATTCGCATTTTTTTTTTTTTTATTCTGACAAACATGTCTCAGGCTAGAAAGGTTTACCTTGATGCTTTTTTGTTCCTCTGTAAATTCCTCTAAACATGGGATCTGTCAGATTTATACCGATATCTATAACAAAAGCAGAAATAACAGTCAATAGACGGGGCGCGGTGTTATTATTACACTCTACACCAATCACTCCGCTCAGTAAAATTGATCCTTCCACCCCCCTCTATGTTAGATAGAATATAATGGAGGGTAACAGTAAGGAGCAAAATATAATACAAAGAGCAACATATATACAAGGAATTTTTTTTGTGTAGCACCAAGAACATAACAATGTACAAAATATTAATATATTCATACGTAAGCATAATAGTAATATGTACATGAATAAATAGGTTAATGTGATATTGTAGTATATCACATAGGGGTCTATTTATAACAGAGCCATTTGCCTTGCGAATTGTTTGTGCTGTGCAAATTAAAGCAAAAGCGAACATTATCAGTATACAGTATATTCTTTGAAATGCTGTCATACCAGATTATGGCCACTAGATGGAGCTGAGGAGCATAGGGAATAAGTAGTTATAGTCTATGCTCCTCAGCTCCATCTAGTGGTCATAATGCTGTACTACATTACATGTGATCCCAAATGAAAATATACCATGAACATTCACAGAGATAGACAGGGCGAATGGCTCTACGTAAGGTTTATAAACGGGAATGCCCCGGATTACATGGAGGGGTGATTGGAGGCAGTCCCCCCAGGATTCCATGGAGGGGTGATTGGAGGCATTGCCCCCAGGATTCCATGGAGGGGTGATTGGAAGCAGTTCCCCCCAGGATTCCATGGTGGGGTGATTGTGTTTGCAGACTATGGAGGAGCCCTTACTATAAATGAATGGAGTCAATAAGAACTGATTAATCACACACAGAATACACAATTGGGGCAGCTGTCAGATCTCACCAATGAACCTGAAGAGTGACATGATAGATCCAGCGTGGCCGTGTCCCTCTCCAATCCCAGCATGCCTTGCTATCTCCCGTATTAGCACACAGAATTTGGAGATGTCTCTGCATACAACAAATTTGGTCTACGAAAAAATGGCCGCCACCTCAACATCGCATTCTGAGTGGAAGGCATATTCCATGGCTCACCTTACGAAGACCTAGGAGTCAGCAACCAGCCAATCACCGAGTGGGCATAATGAGTTTCCAAAAATGTCTCCATTATGGAAGCCATTTTTTGTAGTACAAAGTCCTTGAAAAACACAGAGCGAGGTCTCCGGAAAAATGGCCCCACGCTAGTTTACTCAAGTCTTAAACACTACAGACATAGGATCTCGGAGACGGTTTAGGGGTCACGTGTCAGTGGTAGACCAATCATAGAAGAGGACACGCTGAGCTCGGCAGAGTAGTCCCGTAGGACGAGGTTGGAGGAGGTGGGTGGCAAGATGGCAGCTTATCTCTCCCACAAGCAGAAGGTGCTGCGGCTGTATAAGAAGGCGATACGGCACATGGAGTACTGGTGTGTCTTCAGGTAATGGCGGAGACCAGGCAGAGCGGCCGGCTGGGTCCTGCGAAGGATTAAGTGTGATCTGTGCGGGGAGGACACTCAATGACAGCCGGTGGGGGAGGGGGTACTAGGCTGAGTCTGGCCTTGTTCATGACCATAAGATGGCTGAAGTGCACCTGTTAGTTCAATACAAATCAATCATTATACCCATTGACAGTCTCATATTTCAGATAACTCCCAGCCTGCTGCAGCCAGGAAGAAGCATTTCCTCAGTCTCTCCTCCACCAGTCTGCTGCAGACAGGAGGAAGCATTCCCTCAGTCTCCCCTTCCCCAGTCACCAGTCTGCTGCAGGCAGGAGGAAGCATTCCCTCAGTCTCCCCTCCCCCAGTCACCAGTCTGCCGCAGGCAGGAGGAAGCATTTCCTCAGTCTCCCCTCCCCCAGTCACCAGTCTGCTGCAGGCAGGAGGAAGCATTTCCTCAGTAATTCCGCTTCCAGGCCTGCCTCCTGAGGGCGCGCTTCGATGAGCATAAAGATGAGCAGGACTTGGTGAAAGCCACTCAGCTGCTGAGGGCCGGCGTGGAAGAGCTCGATATCCGCCAGCACCCCCAACCGTTCATCTTCCCCACCGCCCCGGGGGGCACCAGCTACGAGAGATACGACTGCTACAAGGTCCGCACACCCCAGGAACTGACTATGTCCCACTCGGTAGACTTCCCTTCACTTCCTGTCCAATAGTAGCCACAACAGGAAGTGAGATGAAATCCCTGAACTAGTGTCCCCATTGGAAGATTTCCCTTCACTTCCTGTTCTGGAGACAAGCCAAAATGTGGCATTTTCTTTCCCTTTCGGGGATAACGGTCACCACGACACGGAGAGGGTGAATCTACCTACTGGGGACACAGACAGTTATAAACACCTGACAGGGGATCTCATCCCTCTCCAGTCCATACAGAACTACAGAAATGTTTTGGCTTCAGCTCTTTAACCACTTCCTGTCTGGAGCAATCTCTTCATTTCTGATCAAATCTGAGTTTTTGGCTAGAAAACCGCTTCAGACCCCCAACAATGAGAGCGGGGGTCCCGCAGAATAAAAATGCTGCATGCACGGCCTCTGTACCAAAGTGAATGGAATACCCAATTATATGGTGAAATAGAACAGACGGGGCCACGCCGGGGGAATGGACACCAAACAGGTCATGACTTCAAATTGTGCGCGCCTGGGAAATCGCAGAAAACTACCACACCCAAAATTTCCCATACGCGACGCTTTACAAGCTTTTACCGCTCATCAGTTTAGTGTTATCGGTGATTGGCGGCCCGAAAATGATTCCTCTCACTGCGACATTCGCGGCCATATGTTTGCATGTACATGGGGGGGGGGCACAGGTATCACATAGGGGGGCTAACACGGGAGCACAGATATCCCACAGGGGGGCACAGGTATCACATAGGGAGCTAACAGGGGGGAGGGGGGCACAGATATTCCACAGGAAGCTAACACGGGGGCACAAATATCACACGGGGCTAACACAGGGTCGGCACAGCTATCGCACAGCAGGCTAACATAGGGGGGCACAGCTAGCCCATGGGGGCACTAATATCACATAGGGGGCTAACACAGGGTCGGCACAGCTATCGCTCGGGGGGCTATCACACGGGGGGAGGGGCACAGATATCACACGGGTGCACAGAGACAGTGACAGGTCCTCTTTATGGAGACATCAGGGGTCTATTAGATCTGTCATCTAGGGACCCCCAAAGAAGCTGATGAATCTCTGATCTGGTTCCCCAGCTTCTCTCCGGATACAGAGGCTGGAGAGGTGACGGGTTGGTACCGGAGATGATGTAACACACGTCACTTCCAGGTTCAGTGCTCAGAGGCGAGATCAGCCGCTGGGCGTCGCTCCCGTGGCCTGCATTGTATGAATGGGCTGTATAATGTGGGCCGTGGTGGATGGCGGCCGTTCTCCATTATAAATCATCCTCTAGGTATTGTTTTGCTAGAGTTCCACTTTACTTTAATGTTGCTGATATGTCATCCAACGTGTGCTGTGCAGGTTCCGGAGTGGGTCCTGGACTACTGGCACCCATCGGAGAAGGCCATGTACCCGGATTATTTTGCGAAGAGAGAACAGTGGAAGAAACTTCGGGAGCAGAGTTGGAGCCGTGAGGTCAGTGTCTGTGTGTCCCTCAGGGTGTATTTCCTTCCAGCGAAGCCTCCAATCAGGTGGAAGTCCTCCTAGGTGCAGCTGTGTGGTCTCCGCATTTTGTGACGGGAGATGCCGGGTGCCTGTCAGGCTTAAACAGCCAATTAGAAAACGATAAGTATTGGGCGCAGTTGGCTGTGCAGGTTTTCATTTGGCGCATTGTGTAGATTGTTGAATGGAAGGAATCACCAGTTGGCATCCGAAGTCTGGGGGGGAGGGGTGGTTAGGGAAGGAAGGTATTCTATGTGTACACCACACTGCAGCTTTAAAGGGTAGTGTCCTTCAATATCATGTGAGAATCATTGGTGACAGGTTCTCTTTAAACTTCCTACTCTCTGGGTTCAGCTTGGTATCGGCTTTTGTCCACAGTTATGGAATAGTCCGCAGGTAGGCAACCTCAACACTCCAGCTGTGGTGAAACTACAAATCCCATCACATTTCTGCCTCTGGGAATCATGCCTATGGCTGTGAGTCTTGTAATGCCTCATGGGACTTGTAGTCCCACAACAACTGGAGTGCGGAGGTTCCCTACACCTGGTATAGCTCATAATTTCCCAGATTGCCCCCCCACCCGTGATTGAGGTCCAGCATCCTGGATTGAAGATTGTGACTCAGATTATCTTGCATTGTCTTTCCTCAGGTTCAGCAGCTGATGCAGGAGACGCCACCTGAAGGTCCGCGCACTGAAGCCTTGCCACCAGCCCGTAAGGAGGGCGATCTTCCTCCATTGTGGTGGGACGTTGTGACCCGTCCCCGCAACATCCCACAATAAGGGGCCAGCTGGACGTCTGGTCTTCTGTGGTTGTATCTTCCCGACACGAGAGACATCATAAATATTTGTCGGCACCTAAACATCTTCACATCCTGTAATTTGTTTCCTCAACTTCAACCATCGTTCTCATTAAACACCATGAACCCTAAAGAAATCTCCTTGTTCCATTGTTTTGGCCATCGAGTATAATCGGCAACATTGATATTACCGGTGAATGTTTGAGTGCTGAGCCGCCAACACACCAAAATGTCAACCAAAACATGACCCGGCACTGCAGCACCGCCACTTGCTGAATTTGGGAACTGATCATCTGTAGGTAGAAGTCAAACATGGAGTGCGTACAGAACGACCCGAGAATGTTTCTATACTATGGGGGGGCAAATGTATAAAACAGGGAATTTGTCTTTCACTGGTGAACCATTCACTGTATTTCTGAAACGTTCTCCAGGAAGATTCACCTGCACATTCATTGGTGTAAGTTCCGAACAGCCTTTAACAGGGGCGCTTTGTGCCTTTTGTTAAAAAAAGAAAAGTGAATTTCTGGAGTTGGATATGTAGGTGTGAGTTGGTTGTCTCCTGAGATGTTGGGGGTGATTTTAGGGATGCAGCAATACTAGTCTCGGTGCCGATACCGAGTATTTGGGCGAGTACTCGTCCAAATGCTCCGATACCGGAACTTCCGGTCAGAGGAAGTTTTCCTGCCGTGGTGTAGGGGAACATAGAGCCGGCTTCCTGGACAATCAGGGCGGCGGGTCATTACTCACTGCCCAGCTAATCAGCATCGAGCCGGCTTCCCGGACAATCAGGGCGGCGGGTCATTACTCACCGCCCAGCTAATCAGCATCGAGCCGGCTTCCCGGACAATCAGGGCGGCGGGTCATTACTCACCGCCCAGCTAATCAGCATCGAGCCGGCTTCCCGGACAATCAGGGCGGCGGGTCATTACTCACTGCCTGGCTTCCGGATTGGCCGGGAAGCCTGATCGATGCCAGCGGAAGTATTGGTACTCAGTATCAGCAAATTACGAAAGTAAAGTATCGGTACTCGTACTCCATACCCAAAAAAACGGTCTTGAGTTGATTTATTAAAAGCAAATTGGTTGTTCACTTTGCAAGGGAATTTTCCCTGTAGCTCAGTGAATGAGGGGACTCTGCGGTCTTCCACCAAAACTGTCAATAGTTTCTTTTTATCAATTAACAAAATGGAAAGTAAATGAAGAGAAATCCAATCAGTATTTGGTGTGACCCCCCCCCCCCCCCCCTTTAATCCAAATCAAATCAATATTTGGCGTGACCACCCTTTGCCCTCAAAACAGCATCAATCCTTCTAGGTACACTTACACACAGTTTTTGAAGGAACTCAGCAGGTAGGTTTGTTCCAAACATCTTGGAGAACTAAGCACGGATCTTCTGTGGATGTCGGCCTCAAATCCTTCTCTCTCTCTCCATGTCATCCCAGACAGACTCCATAATCAGGGCTCTGTGGGGGCCAAACCATCACTTCCAGGACTCCTTGTTCTTCTTTACTCTGAAGATAGTTCTTAATGACATTGGCTGTATGTTTGGGGTCGTTGTCCTGCTGCAGAATAAATTTGGGGCCAATCACACGCCTCCCTGATGGTATGGCATGGAGGACATATATATATATATATATACTTGTATTTCTCAGCATTGAGGACACCATTGATCCCGACCAAATCTCCAACTCCATTGGCAGAAATGCAGCCCCAGGCTTGCAAGAAACCTCCACCATGCCACTTCACTCTAATCCTACAAACTCCCTGACCTTGTGCAAGTGTCAGAATTGATGCTGCCCAGTGGAGGCAGTGTGATGTTTTGGGTAACGCTCTACTGGGAAAGTCTTGCCATTCAGGTGGATGTTACTCTGACACATACCACCGACCTAAATATTGTTGCTGACCAAGTACACCCCTTTATGAACACTGTATTCCCTGATGGCAGTGGCCTCTTTCAGCAGGATAATGCCCCCTGTCACAATGCATCAATGGTTCTAGAATGGTTTGAGGGGTTGATTTGGCCTCCAAATTCTCTCAGATCTCTCTCCAATTGGCCATCTGTGGGATGTGCTGAAAAAACAAGTCTGATCCTTGGAGGTCCAACCTCACCTTAAAGCAGGGGTCCTCAAACTTTTTAAACGGGGGACCAGTTCACTGTCCCTCAGACATTGTTGGGGGCCGGATCAGGAGGCGGGTCATGACATGCTGCCCAGCTTCCTGATTGGCTAGGCAGCAAGCTCCAGTTGGTAGGCAGCCTGGCTTCCTAACCAATCAGTAAGCTGGGCGGCACGTTCTGACCCACCTCCTGGCTTCCTGATTGGCTAGGAAGCCGGCTTCACTTTTTTCTAGGCAGCCTGGCTTCCTGACCAATCAGGAAGCCAGGTGGTACGTCATGACTTGCATCATGGCTTCCTGATTGGCTGGGAAGCAAGCTTCACTTATCAGGAAGCAGTGACAGGAGTCATGACGTACTGCCCGGCTTCCTGATTGGTCAGGAAGCCAGGCTGAATAGAAAAATTGCTGCAACAGAGCGTGCTGGTTACTACTTAAACCAGCGCGCGCTGTGTGCAGCTTCTGAGAATATACGCTATTAGCAGGAGCTCTGCAAAATGCGCAACCGGCTTCTCCGCTACGCTAATAGCATAGCTTCTCAGAAGCTGGACACAGCACGCGCCGGTTTAAGTAGTAACCAGCGCGCTCTGTTGCAGCTTCTGACAGCGTGGGAGATCGGACGCTGCGTTCGTCGGTGGATCTAGGGATCAGGCGAGTATTAAAATATATATATATATATATGTCAATCTGATGCCCAGCATCATGCAGCCCTCTTCCTGTAAGCCCAGGTTATCCTGGACCCACCCCCCAGAATGTGACTGGACAGTGAAAGGAGGTGCAGCCTAGTGGGGCGCTCATCTTTCTCTTTCACCCTGCTCTCTTCCTATCAGCATGGTTCCCAACAAGAAATGAATGGATTGGCTCCTTGTAATGCTTCTTTCTCTCACACTCCACCTCTGATATCAGGTGAGATTCAGGTACTTAGTATTTTAGGGGCTAGTTCACACCGTCCCCAGTGTGTTGCGGCCCGATTCTGTCCGGAACGCACTTGATCGCATCTCAGCCGGCTCACTTTGTTTTGGGGCGGGAGGGGGTGTGGCGGTGTATTGAAGTCAATGGCACCACAGCCACAACCTCTGGCCGTAGTGCAATCACTAGGAACGCGTGGCACATCAATGCCCGCATTCCGGTCCGGCTAGAAAAAAGGCTACATGCACTATTTTTTCTGGCCGAAACGGAATGCAGGCATTAATGTGCCACGCTTTCCGGTGTGGGCAATTGCAATGCGGCCGGAGGGCGTGGCTGAGGTGCCATGGACTTCAATGCACCGCCCCAAAACAAAGCGAGCCGGCCGGAATGCGATCCAGACAGATTCGTGGTGTCAACTAGCCCTAAAAATAAATGGAAGGATGTATTGTGTCTATCACAGACTAGGACTTGCTGTATTTTCTCCATACGGGAAACCGCAACAGATTAATTTTACATGAGGCTGCAGCCTGGAGAAATATCCGATGCTTTCAGATGTAGAGTAACACATGACAAGCCCCCTACATACTCATAGGACACGATTCAATGCCCTGAGCGTCCGATTGTCTGGCCTGAGTGCTGCCACATGGAAACATAGGGGGTCTGCATAGGGTTCAAAATGTTTTGGCAATGAAAGATAAGCAGCTTCCGGCAGAGCTTTATTTTAAGTGAACCTGTCAGTTTGGCCAGTATAGGTAAAGTCCATGTCCATCTTTGTGAGCATCCAGAGAAAGCACCCGGAAGCAATGTATACAGTGTGTGCGTTACAAATGTGACCTTTTCATATGTGCTCCCTGGTTCCTCTTCTGTATTACTGAAATGCTCCGCAGCAGGCTTCCCCGGGTGGGCTTATACATAGGACTACAATGTACCTCATTATAAAATACATTTGCCTCAATCGCTGGGGTGGGGGATAAGACCTTGACTCATCCTGATCACCTAGCTCCAGGTGCCCTCTAGATGGGGAGTCTCAGCAGACTGGATGTTCTTTGCCTTGTGGATGAAACATTTGGTGGTGGTGGTGGACTTCAGTGTGCAGCTTCTCTCTGTGGACCATAGCTCTCGACATTGTTGAAGGGGATACGCTCCCCCCCTATTCTTCCTTGTCACTGACGACCATATAACTCAAGCACGTCCCGTCAATCATTAATCTTCAGCACGACCACCCCAGGATGGTTGGAGTTGGTGGAAAATTCTAATTTTTTCCAATCGGACCGGCAGAAGATGGGAGACCAGCAGAAAGGATTCATCTAAAGTTAAAGCACCACAAACACTGACCCTCCACCACACACACACACACATATATATTATATATGGCATGCCAAGGAGTACAGTGAAATGCGGTACATCTTGCTCCGGGTGAGGCAATCACCAGCCTCGCCCCCAGTCGGACGAAGCCTTGCCCCCCAACCTAGTTGAAGGTAGGAGACTCCCTGTCCCTTACTTGCTCCTCACTTCTGAGGCGCTCCATCCATGACAGGTTACACAGTGGGGAGGATTTCCTTGCTTTGTAACCTGTTAGAACATGAAGCCGACAGCTTTTTCCTCCATAATTCTAGGTGAGATTCTGCCTCACCTGACTGCACATCCCTGGTAGAGTAGGGATCGGTTAGAAACACTTAAGTATATTTTGCCATATTTGTCCCATTGGGGAGACGTTCCTTTCCTTTTCCTGTCTCAGGGCCACAATGGGAGGTGAGAGAAATCTCTTCAAAGCGGGACAAATCCCATCTTAGACAGCCAACACTGGAACAGTTTTGCCCATAGAAGATTTCACCTCTTGTTCTGGTGACAACTGTCAAATTTGGGTTTCCCATCACTTTCTGTCCCAGTGGTCACCAGAACAAATAGGGTGAATCTCCCCAGGAAAGACACAGACAGCAACCTGACAAAGCTTCTATCCCCTTCACCCCTCTATCCAAAGCTTTAG